CCTCATCTGAACCAAATTATTTAAGATAGTTTTTTTTTTTTTTTTTTACCACATTTAATGTTTTTATTAACCTAGCCTTGGCAAAAGATACAAATCAAAAGCTTCTCAAGCCGCTAAAATCAAACCTTCTCTGTTAAAATGCCCAAATCAACTACAAACCTAAATGAAACATCCTTTCTGATCTGTTGTGAGATTTATTACATTTTAACAATTGGTTTGACAGACCTCAGCCAGGTTTCAGATTCAAGCTGGCAGAGGTACATAACTGCCGAATATCTAATGATATAGTCATAATCTATAGCAGGTGTCGGCAATTCCAGGTCTTGGGGGCCGGCATCCTGCATTTTTTAGATCCATCCTTGGTCCAACACACCTGAATCAAATGGCTGAGTACCTCCTGAGTATGCAGTCAGTTTCTGCAGTCCTCTTAATAGTCTATTTACTTGATTCAGATGTGTTGAACCAAAGGCACATTTAAAAGTTGCAGGATACCAGCCCTCAAGAACTGGAATTGCCCACCCCTGGTCTATAGGAAAGGGTTTTAGGATCTTAGTAATCAGAGTGATCAGAGAAACAACATTATGTAAGTTTAGGTCATACTCCTTTAGTAGATTCCAGTTGTTCACGTAAATGATAAATCTGGTGTACCACAAGGTTCAGTGTTTAGATCAGTTTTCTGTATTGCATTTAAAAGATGTATCCATAAGTTTGAACAGTTGATTGTAAAATTTCTGATGGGGAAACATTTTGATAAGAATAGCCTGAGATTCAAGGTTCATAATGGCAGTCTCAAAATTTGTATAACCCCTGTCACAACTTAGATGGGTCTGAAATCCTTAGGCAAGATTCCTTTTCTAAATAGTACCAAAAAAAAAACTGTTATCAGAGCTTAAGATTGTTCAAATTTCATATTTATTTAAAGAAATGGGAGGAGATAAATACTCTGTATTGCATATTTTCTTCAGTTTTATGTGGGTTTAAGAAAGCTTTATTGAAATGTAATTGAAATTCAAATTGAGAAAAAAAAAACATGTGTAGAATAAGGACTTTTTATGATGGTCTATTTACCCTTCAAGATTCTTGCAGTGACTGCAAAATACATTCATACAATTAATTCATAACTGCATCAATATTTAACTGCTAAAGGATGGCAAAAGTGTGTGCTCACAGATCCGGGATGTTAACAGAGCTGTGGTGACTGCTGGGCTGAACCTAAAGTGATTCAACAGATGAATATCTTTTTAACCTAACTCAGCCTGGTTCTAAGACGGTTTTTCCAGCAGCCGATGAGTTTGACTGCTTCTAAGGTTTGAACTATCCTATTGATTAAAAAGCACTGGTTGAAAATTAGCTGTCTTCACTAATGGCCCAGTAGGTGGATTGTCTCCGAGCATGAGCAATTACTGTGAGTACCTGCTGGCTGATTCATCAGCAGCACCACATTTTCTAAAGTCACGAGAACAGAATCATAACCATTATCTCGTTTCCAGCTTTGACATCAACTTGGTAACAAACCTACTTAAAAAAAATAAATAAATAAATAAAACTATGTTGGAAGACAGATAGATCTAACATCATCCTAGAGAAGAGGATCAATTGGGAAGATGTTTTGGACTTTGGTTGCTCAAAGTCCTTCCTGTCTTGTTTTTTTAAAATAATTTTTCATGCTATTACATCGTGTCATTTCTTCTAGTGATAAAGTTTGCATGTCCAAACCATTATTTGGTGGTTTGGACATGCAAAGCCTCAGAGAAAAGTCTATTATGTGTAATTAGACAATAGATACAAAGTGAAAGAACATCATACTGGGGTTTTTTAGATAAAAAAAAATAGGAGCTGATTACATAGATGGGCTGAATTATGCCTCATTACCAACAGGGTATTGAGGATATATGTGAAGGTTCTGAATTTTGAAACTTTGGGTTTCCCATAGAAAAAAAAAAAATTATTATTATTAAGACATACTTTGAACAATATTATACAACAGTGTAACAGAAACCACAGTTCAAAAAGGAGAAATATTGGACTTGTTTTTATTCAACATTTTTTTTTAAATCAACTTTTATATCTTTGCTGTTAAAGTTATAAGTGAATTGCAAAATCAGGAAACTTGTCTCCACCTTTACAGTACATAACTCCTGGCCCAAGCTCCCCAGCTGTTCATTATGGCCAGTTAAGATATGTTTCTCTTTAACGGATTTGCATTTACGACTACTATCCATTCACACGGACATGATTTACAAAGGTATCATGCACCTAAAAAATTATTTTTTGGGGGTTTTATGCAGATCTTGTCTCAGCTCAGAGAAGACATAGCTATTACAAGATTAATTAGTTAGTTATATAGTTTTTTTTTTTTCTTTTCCTTCAATGATTCAATTTACATTATATTTCCAGTTCCTTTTTATTTTTCCCAATTGCTTGGTCAGTTAAATGCATTTGAAACATATAGCACAGCCCTAGTCCCCTTGAAACCTGCACAAAAGAGAAACACAATAATACTAATAAAAATGAATAAGTACCATTTCATTTATTATGGGCTTTGCGAAGGCAAGGACATACAAACAGAAAGCGCATGCAGCCATATGAATACAAAAAGTGCACTAATATATAAATGTAAGCATACCCTATAAAGGGTCCATACAGATGTATGAAGCTGCCTCTTGGTAGAGATGCAGAAAAATGAGAGGATCTGTATGGAGGGGAATATAACAAGTATTCCACATAAGCTGCAAATTGCACATGGGGGACTTCGAACTATTGCACTACATCATGGTCTTCTGGGAGCCGTGCTGATTGTTAAGTCTGACAGCTGCAGAGAGGAAGGACTTCATTTACTGGTCCTCTGCACATTTAGGGTGCAATAGTTTGTCATTGAATGAGCTTCTCTGAGCCTTTGCTGCATCATGGATGGGATGAAAGACCTGCTTATGCTATTTGCAGCATTTTTCTAGTTATTTTTAAGAGCTATGATATTAAAGGTTACATGACATTGAAAGACAAGTTATTAAATGTCAATTAACACGTTTCTTCCTAGTTCTCCAGTTATAAGGAGATGAGAAACTGTTAATCATTTACAGAAGTAGCAAAGGAAACATTAAGGACCTGAGAGGACAGTTGCTGTAAATAAGGAGAACTCTTTAGCTTTACATTAGCAATGGGTCTATCAGGATTAGGCTCAATGCTAATTTAGCAAGGAAGGGTTAAGGAATGTAACTAGTGTTT